GGGGATGGTAAGCGCACTAGAATCAGTTTCAAGCGGTCCAGGTTTAGGCCTTTGATTCTGTCTCATCGTTGTCTTGAGAAAACGGTTTTTTAGTGTTATTGAATTGCTACACAATGTATTTCCCACCGAGGTGTACAAATGGATAATGGGGAAGGTAATGGACCAGGGAGCAGCAGAAAAACTGTTAGACTAAATCGATTCATGCTTCCAGTGGTGCATCCAGTGGTGGAACTTGGGATCTTGAGTGAAAAAAAAAAAAGTATCACAGAAGGAAGAAAAGCCNGGCTGCCCACTTGGCTCAAGTTCTGGATCCGCCACTGGCTTCAGAAACCGGAGATAAGCCACACCCTTACAAAAACTTATCTTTACACAGACTTATCCTTGCCTCACAATAATGGCTAACTAGAACTGGGTCACTCTCATTTAATTTCAAGCGCTTTTTCGCCAACTGTCGTGTAACGAAACTCTATGTGGCTTTACTAAAGGAAACGAATTTCATGCTGTCGGAAAAAGAAAGTGATTAGTTAATGTTGAATGCTTCTCATCATTATCCTTAAGGAATACAGCACGGACAGCCGAACAGAGTCGTCAATGAGATTCAGGCCAATCTACTACTGGAGTTTTACAGTTTTTAGAAACGTGAAGTACAAAACTTACCTGGGTTGCGAAAAAGATGGACGATCGCTGCTGGTGGCGATGAACAGCACAAGTTACCCGGATCCGAGAGCTTTATTCATTACCAACAAATACAATCTCGATTTTAGCTTTTGATTGCATCAAGAGTTCAGAGGTTAGAAATCAACAGCAAAGATATGTTAACTGATTTAACTCATAGATGCAGGTGTCTTCTGACATAAGGAGTTACTTTTGCTTTTCACTATCGGTGATCTGCCTTTTAAACCAAACTCCTCTTCTAACTGTTTTTTTGGCGATCAATAACTGATGGAAAAGAGCTTGTGACTGTAATAGCTGTAGTGATAGCCGCCACGAATTTTTGTTACAGACCTAACTACGTTTAGAGGGCCAAACTAAAATAATCCAATAACCCGATTGTCCAATTGCTTGTCTGATATATGTGCACTGTATATGTCTGGATTTATGAAAGCAGAGTTAAAGAAATCAAGCATTTTATTTTAGACGATATAAAAAAAGTCTTTTTTTTCCTCCACTCTCTTATCTCCCTTTTCTTGCTCTCCTCTCTCTATTCTTCTCCATCTTTGGAGTTATTTTAAGGCCTTTTAGAGTTGTGAAACCAAAGTGCATATGGCTGTTTTTGTGCAAAGCCTTAACACGGTTTTCATAAATTCAGTCATATATATAATTTAATTATTCGACTGGCCACTGTTCGAATGATCACAGGTTACCACAAATGAAAACTGCTTTTTTTGAAGTTTCATGGCTTCCGCAGCCACTATGAATGTGACTATTTCTGCGGTTTTCACGTGCAAACGCAACTGGTCAATTAAGAAAATTTTGTTCGAGAGGACTTAGTTGGAGTGATTCAGTGCAATATATAACAAAAATAGGTACGCAGTGCGTACATGGTCGGACATGCAACACATGCCTATTACCTTATCAAGGGTGATACGTTTTGCAGTGATCCTTCGTCATTTAATTTGAAAATAAATGTTCAAATGCGGACGCGTTCTGTGGTAATTCACACAGAAGCGAAAAACGTTTGCCGAGTGCACTTTGGGAGCAAACTGTATAAAGAATATCATATGTGTAAGATCTGAGCCATATCAGCAGCTCAATGGAAATCAGCCTATGGTGTCGGTAAACAATGAAAATTAGAGGGTTTGCTACATAGTCCTTCCCTGTGACTAAGGAGCAGAAATAGTTTAACTGACATCAGAGTCAGTCACAACTGGGCCTGGGTTTGTCTCAACGCAGTCAACATCGCCGGCAAATCAAATTTGAAATTATACAAAAATAGCTGTGTAACCCAGAGACGACTGATTTTCGTTATTTTGAAATAACGAAACACACTTCTTAGTACTGATAAATTAATTGATGCGAGGTAAAACGAAAGCAGCATACAACACCAGAATTTTTCCTTAAAGCATCCTCGATACTCCCTGAGAGCTAAATAAACGCTTTGCATGCCAACTACAAGTCTTTACGTATTGTTGTAAACTTTTCCCCATTTCAGCTTTGTTTTGCCTAAATTAAGTGCAGATTAAGGTGCTCAAAATTAATTCGAAGTTCCAGTGAAACAATTCTCCAGGAAATAATCAACGTAATTCTCG